CCGCTAGCATAGTTCCTTTTGCATTTTGTTTCATCCACGTGGTTGCTTACTGCGGAAGTAGTGAAACTAATTCAGATCGATACTGCTGATGGATTGACATTCTTCTTGATTACTTGCGAGGACCTGAAGGGAGACGAAGTGTCAAGCGTGCTCGCACCATGACGTGATTGCAATCAAGCTGTGTCCCAAAAAGGAACGACAGTCATGAATTGTGCCTCTCCAACGGGGGATGATGGCCGCATGATCCAACTGGGTCCAGGGTTGATTTGCATTTGATGGCCGCCAGGTTACACGAAGCGATAGTGAATGCTGAAACTTCGTACTGGCCATAAACGTTTCATAATAAGCACACAACTGTACGACGAGCGTCGACTTCGAACAGACCACCCAGATATGACTAAGTAGCTCAGACACATCAGGTGCATCAGGTGACTTTTGAGCAGCACCAGACTCTGGTTTTGAATGTATTTTGACCGTATTGAACGATGCGCCGGCGGTCATGGTCAATCTTTAGGCGATCGGAGCGTGCGAATTTCAGGATCGACCTCTTCTAACCACCCTTCCTCGGGTGACGACAGCATTGCTGCCTCCATAAATATGGACACGCTGGTCGCCTGGGGGAAATACCTAACTGCCTTCACACTCCTATCGAAAGGAACCGTATGACTTTACCCCAAGACCGCCTCATACCAAGTTTCTTGTAGTAGGAATTCTCGCTGCTCTTGGTCTATCTGCTCTCCTTTGGCCTTCCTGGCACGGTTGCACGTGGTGGAATGGAGCTCCATCCAGTGTAGCCCGCGAGATCATCGTGGCAGACATCGATAAGCAATCACATCTTGCAGCATCTCCAGCCAGGAGCAGTGGGGATCATGCGGTCCCCATCCTGGTAGGTGAGTAGCACCAACAGCACCCAAACGTTTCGTGATCTCTTTCTTACTCCTCTGCCAGGTCAAGGGTTGGCCACCTCTCTGCTTCCGCCACTCAGAATCGGGCACGGAAAACAGCATTCTCTTCGGCAAGCGATGGTTCGTTATTCGCAATAAATGGCCTAACAAACTCAGTTTCTGGTGCTGGACACATTCTTCAACGGAAGTTCCTGTTGCACAGCTAAAAAACTCGCTTTCTAGTTGCCTTGATACAGATTCGTCGACACCAATCTACACGAGCTATGGTCCTGAGACAACGATTATCGAACACCTGAAGACTTTTCGGTTCTGCTGCTCGAAAAGGCCAAGCCTCATAGCCATACAAAAAAACACCCCCACATTGTAGCCAGATACACATGTTCCTTGATGCCATAAGCGTCTAAAATTAGCAAACGCGACCCGAGCCTTACAAATTCGTGCATAGACCTCATCTGTCGCATTACTATCAGAAATAATACAACTTCCAGGGTAGGTTGAGTGCCACTCCCTGGATTATAAGTGGCGTGTCCAGGAGCATGACCTCACATTCTGTGGGTAAAAAGTGTACACCAAAGGACGGGATGTCTTTGGTCAGTTCATCCAAAAACACCTGCGCCTTCTGCTCTTCGAGAGGACGATATCGTCTACATATTTGAGATCCACAAAGTTTTCGTGAGCAGCTATTTGAACACCTTCCAGTGTCCGCCTGATTATCTCGTCGATCAAGAAATTAAATAGGGATGGAGAGTGGGCACCCCAAACGGGCACCGCTTTTGAAGAGATCCCCGTATATTCTCACACGCCTGGAAGCCTATGCATACATAGCGCTTGTCTGCAAACTTCCGGGGCAAACCTTGGTTGGTAAGTGTCAAGAACAGACCGGTCAACCACCTTGAAAATCTAGAACTAAAATTGTGGGTCCTTTTTACATATGACGTTCTTGAACCTGAAGGAGTGTAGAGATTTGATCAACGCAACCCCTGTCAGGCAGGAATCCTGCTCACTGCTCTCGAGTCAGTTTCACGAACCACCATACGGTGACGAAGCACAAGTGACGCCATCAGTCTCGTAATGACCGGGGTCAAGTTGATCCTGAAGGTCCGCGGTTGAATCCGACCACCGGGGTCAAGTTGATCCTGAAGGTCCGCGGTTCGAATCCGACCTCCGCCACTCGACTTCCCCTGTCTAGGCTTGGGCAACCTGGCAGTATCCCAGCCCTCGTGAACCCTTCGGGTGGCATGGCAGCTAGGCACCGGAAGGGTGCTACAGCTGAACGCTTTATCTTTATCACTCACTACGAACCTCTTTTTTGAAAATGGGCACTATCACCGGCCGCGCGGATCAACTAAAATAGTCTTCGGGCGTTGCCGGCTTTCTGGGTCTCTTCCCTTTCTTTGGCTTTCTGTGTCCACCAAACTTCACAGTCGGTTCGTACGCTCACTTGCACTTGAAGTCTGATAATTCATCGTATCAAGTTATGTTCGCAACCGGCTGGGATATTTTTCCTAGATTTAAGCAGTGCCACTGATATCCAGTGCTTGAACCTGGTACCGCCGTACCACAAGCGAAGCTCCCAGCTGTGTGCGAAGAAGTGGCAATCTCGTCCCGGTAAGACTTCACACATATGAGCATATAGAGCATTTGTAAGATATCCCAGATGATTCTGGTAAATTTGTCTAACATCCGAATTTGCCAGTCCTTCCAGTTGCCCGGCAATTTTCCCGCACCTTACGCGGCCTGGAAAACTAAGGGAGAAGAGACTTCGGACGAGCGCGTAGTCGGAATCCACAAATGTGTTTCAAAACGATCGGTAATCGGTTACTGATCCGCGCCACCGGCAACTGGTGACAATGTGATCGATTTGAGTTAGTGACCGGCACGTTGTTGGACACCATGTCGTCAGACGACTTCGGCCTTTCCGGAAGTTAGTACTGCATAAAAACAGTCTGCGGTCAGCAAACAGCTCAAGTAATCGTTCACCATTATCCGTACATGCCGAGTCCAGTTCAAGTCGACTACCTAATAGAATTTCAGATGCGCTAAGTCTGCTCAGTTGTGCGTTTAGATCTCCAGCAATGGACCATGTGTATCACGAGACAACATCACTGCTGAAAGTGATGCTTCATGGTCATGTATCTATAAAGTTCATTCAATTGGAGTAAAATCGAACTATAAAAAAAGAGAACACGGGTAAGAGACCTGGCTCTGGCCTAAAGCAAGCACTCTCGGGAGCCTGCACCACCAAATGCTCAGTCAATTAGGAAACTCAAAGCACGAACACCAGCGACAACGACTAGCCGCCAGACACAGAAGACCGCGGGACCCAATCCCGGAAGGTGGATCGAATCAACAGCATCCAAACTCTTATACCATCCTGCCACGTCATATTGTCCACCATGGGGCTTGCGTCAATCGGGAGGCACAGGGGACCGGCCTCGTCTAGAGAGGCGATGATTCAGTATGCGTAAAACATAGCCGGGTCATCATAGTTGAGCTTGGCTTTCCGCAGCTGGAGTGCTTACTGCACAAACAAATATCCGTTTTCTTATTACCTCGCTAAGAATTCCATAGCGGGAACGTTTCCGATACAGACGCCTCACATCGTCTGCCCGCAGAGGCCATGTCTATCATACAGTAGTCTGGTACACACGAACCTTGAGGCCGTTATACGCATTTTTGACGCCACAAGTTAAGTAAATTAGCAAACGTGATTCGGGCCGGTAGGATTTGTGCACTGACTTGAGTAGATACACTTCCGTCAGAGCCAATACAACTACCGAGGCATGTAAAATCCCCCAAAAAATTCTCTCCAAAGAGCATTTTCAGACTGCAGATTCTGAAGCATTGCTTTGCACTTTGAAGGTGCATAGTGCACGCGCACTCAACAAGGTTCCCACCAGCAACGATTCGAACACCGGGGTCTTGAAGACATTCCAGCGTTAGCCTTATTGTTTCATCGACAACGAAGTTGAACACGAACGGGAAATGGTCACCTTTGTAGCTTTCGGAGAGCTCACCATACACTCCCACAGGCCCAGAAGTATGTGAATGTGGGGACTGGATTATATTGAAACTTCTAAGGCATGGTTGTTGAGCAAGTGTGGTTAACGGCACAGACCAACCGACAAACTCGAACACACCCTTGAAATCAAGGGGCACTACGATTGGGGGTCGTGCGTACATACAGTATTGCCGTAACATCTGAATTGTGGTCGACGCAGCCCCTGCCCGGTCGAAATGCCGCTTGATGCTCACGAGTCAAGGATTCACGTGCTGCCGCACGAGGCCGAAGAGCCAGTGACGCTGGAAGCTTCATTACAAACTGACACCTCTGTGATAAGTAAATCCAACGCGAGCACCTTTTTTTTAAAGATAGACATCATTACCGACTGAGTCCAGGTGCCTGGAGTGGTTGGACGCAAATAAACTAGATGGGCACTGGTTGATGAATTCACTGCAGAGCAGGTGCAAGGTATCGAGACCCGAAGCAAGATGACCCTTCAGCAGAGATATACGTTCGGGCTCAATATGCAGTCAATAGTCAACAGCCCGGCTGGAAAGTAGCAGTAGACCAAGTGAATTGTTGTTCGAGGCACTCAGTCAAACGGCGGAATCGCACTTCTTTGGTGAAGATCAGAAAGCCATTGTGAACCTTGACAGTTTCACTGATAGGAGGCTTTCGAGGACCTTCGGTCGCATCTCGCGGAACGATCTACGAATACATCCAACACATTTCGCTCCTTCCATTCCTTCGGCCTTTCAGACCCATCAAACTTTCCGGCTTCTATGGACACTGTTTTACATGCTGCTGGATAATGCGTCCATTTGGATTGTGCTTGCGACCGGAATCTATTGCCGGGCCTCCAGCAAGGCCACGGTCCTTTCAGATATGCAAAACCTGGAAAGGAGCCGGCTGCGTTCAACCACAAAGCTTTGGATATCTCACTCAAGCGAACATCACCTTCATCACTGACAGAAATACACCAGTAGCACATACTGATGCTCAACTGTCACACAACCATGAGGGACGAAAGCCTTCGTAAAGAGTGGGAAGAAAATGGACGGTAAGGAAGCCTCATTCATATCCGTTGATGGTTAACATCGGATACCGGCTAAGCAATGTTGAAGTAAGTTCTGACAAACCTGTCTGAGTTCAGGGTCCATGGCCAAGAGTTGTACCCGTGTTTTGTGTGGACCTGAAAAGCACAGTGAGAAACGGCATCGGACAAATTCAGATATTCCAGAAGCAGCCGCAAGTGGTCGACCCTCGCCAGCGGTAACCAATGGTAATGTGGCCCGTCTGGGCTAGGGACTGGTTCGTTGGTGGACACCACATGGTGTTTTCTGCCGTCCCGGAAATCGCTACTGCAAAGCAACAGTCCATGACCGGCAGACACCAGCAGCAATGGTTTTCCTTTGTCCGGCCTTGTGATTCCTAATTCAATTCAATTCCATTTGTCAGCTATAGACCATGTTCCATAGACACACTGGTTTCAGCTGATACGGTTTCGATCACCGGAAAACAGGGTAGCGTGGGACGAGTCAAATAGACCGTGGTTGGTCATGGCCAACCGCTGAGCGGAAACCACAGCTGTTAATGTGCACCTTATCTAAACTGCCCTTTCTGGGATGGGAAAAATTCAGCAGTGCTGATTCGACGAATATGGAAATGGCACCCAGTGGAAAACATCTTACGATCTTTACACCGGTCGCGATGCATGTTACGCGGGAAGTCGAGAGGCAGAGGTCGAGTTCGAACCACGGACCATCCAGTCAGTAAATTCGCGCTCTAACCACTGTCATCTCGACTAATACCATGCACGAGCTAAGAAAAACGATGAATGCCTAGCGCAATGCAGGAATAAGGCAACAAACAGTACATCCACGAGAGATGCTACGACTTTACTTTCCGACCGTCCCATAGTACTACTACTCGTAGTGTGCTGTTCATCAGCGGCTGGGATACTGTTAGGCTGCCTAAGCCTAGACAGGAGAAGTCAAGATACAGAGGTCGGGTTCGAAACTGGCATGATTGCACTTTGAGAAACGAAGCTCCAACCAGTGGCCCGGTGGATCGGTGCAGCATCTAGCCCGAAAATGACCTCAAAGTGGCAGCTATTGGTTTGAAACACGGACAGCACAAAGAAAAGTCACACTTCTTCAAAGCATTGACCCAAGAATAGCAATTGCCCGCTAAAAGTACGCATGCTACCTCCGTCGATGTACTAAAATAGTACCACCAAACGGGAAAACAGCTAATAAGCGTACAACTTACAGGACAATTTTCAACTGGATATCTATTTGGCTTGGGGAGAAAGGAGCCGTTCCCGACTAGTGCTCAAAATATCAAATCGAACAAAGACGGAAAAATCGCAGACAACAAGAACGCAGTCGCATAGGTCTATGAATTGCCCCACTGGGTTCAGCTTCGGCTGCTAAGCGAAGTGCTGACATTTGAACTTCTGAATAACAGCCAACACAGAGTCAAATACGAAGCCAATACGCGGGCCGATACGCGTATGCAGTGTCCTTCGAAATTATGCCACCCCAAAAACTATCAGGCCTGTGAACTACATATGATGTTGCTTGCTCGCTTGTAGTTATCATTCGATGCCGGGGAACTACAACCGCCTTCTGATTCCGCTTGGGGGCTCACATTGAGTACCGAAGACTATGCTGTCCCAACGACCTGAAGGGCTTGACAACCTCGATGAAAGGACCAAAGACACTCACACTGAGGCAGAAAAGCCGGTCAATATCAAGTCGGGACTTGAACTGGCCTGCTAAACTCCTATGTGACAAGTGAACCTGATATGTGGCTATCCTCCCACTCTAAATCCCAAAATGAGAACCCGAGTGGCTAAATGATCAAGAGCTGCCACTTCCATTTGTCCACCCGTGGCTAGTGGACAAAGGATACCTCATCTTGTGTAGCCTGGACATGCTGAATACGTGCAGTGGGGATAACCAGAAGCACAGGCCTGAGCGCGGTACCAAAGAAGACAGATACATCACTCTAGCATATATTCGTAAGGTGTAGTTTGAACGCGAAAACAACGTATCTAGCTAGATTGAAAGTAGAAACTCAACCAACATGATGGATAAACGGTAATGAAAGAAAAACAAAACTAATGTCGGGATTAATGCAAGGAACACATTCCTCTCCGTTAATGGCGCAGAAGCGACGACCGGATCAACAAACTGGTCGAGAATATAAAAAATCACATAGTGTACGCAGAGGCCGGGTGTAGACATTCTCGAACTATGTATATACACAAGCCCGAAAACCACTATTTCGGTCAGCAGTGGGAATAACAAGACGGCAGGTCTACCGTCACCGTTTACAGTCAATGAGTGCTGTTCACAACTACCTGTGGCCGGTGAAGATATTTGTGTGGAATAGGGCGGTTCAGTAATTTTGTGACGACCGGGTAGTCTGTGGTATGGTTAGGATAGGAAACAGCCTCATTAACGGGAACTGTTATAGGAATTTCAGAGGAGGGTATCATGAGGACGTCTGGGAAGGAGTTTACAGACTTCGCCGTACTGCTTTGGATATCCGGACAGAGGCAACTGTGGTAGCCTTCGGGTGCGTTCGACCAGTAGGCTTCATTCGACAGAGGAGGTGACTGATCACCAGCGGATAAGCTCTCATCCTGACTTTCATTACCATTGCCACTAAGGGCACGGCCACCCTCAATCTGTTCGATTGCCATCACCAAGTGCTCCAGGCGAGCCGATGTGGTACTGGTGCAGTCAGGTAGCGGAGACGGGGGTGATATGGAGATACTGCTATTGAAGGAATTGCAAGGCGAGGTTTGATGAGTATCAGCACTTATGGGAGAGCAATGAGGCAGATCTGGGCGAGAGTTATCGAACGCTGGTTCAGGATCGATCCGTCTACGACGACAGCGTACTCCCCCGGGTCGTTTTTCTGTAAAAATGGTTTAAGGAAATGCAACTGTCTTACTCTGATCATCAGACTTTCTCTTTTTCGACAACCCAAGATCTACAGAAAAGTCTGGAATGACAGTAGTGGGTTGGATGCCGGTCGACTGTCGATAAATGGCCACTTCGTTTTCCAACAGAGTGACACGATTCAACAGACTGTTTATGTACTCCGCCGTCAGCTGTAAGATAGTAGCCTGAATGTGTTACGGGAACAAATAAGGGGGGACCTCACCTTGCTGAGCTTTTCGCCGTCCTGGATAGGTGGAAGCAAGATGCGTAAGGAGTCGAAGCCAGCATTGATGCTCTGCATGCGCCGACGTTCATTACTATTGGCGATTTCTCGCCTGACGCGCTTTTCCTGTTCCAGATGTTCATGTCCTACAGATGCACCACCATCCAGCGACAATCTGAAATATGCGAATATGCCCTAAATCCATGTGTTGGGGCCACAAGTAACAAACCGCGCGTATACAGCAAAACACAGACACGTTCTACTAGGGCAAGGACAACCAACATTTACATGACTACAAAGTTTGTTCAACTAACAGCAACAGCCTCTTGAAAAAAGGACAGTATCAGCTGTTCACTCACAAGTTGTCCAATGACTCATCAACTGGACACGTGGTTGTACTCACCTGCGAGATTTCTCACATCCGTCACTGCCAAGATCAGCGTGACACCGTCTTTTATCCATGTTAACGGTAGATATGAGTAGCTGGAAATTGCTGTCAATCGGGAGACAGCGCGTGACAATGGTTGGGTAGTGAGGAATTCGGCACCGGGGAGACTACACCCAACACGTCAGCAGCGGGCGTTCGCGCGCTTCAAAATGGCGGATCCCGGGGTGCGACCTGTAACCGGTTAAGATATACACAGTTTGTATTATTACAACTTTTCTCGCATTAACAATTAAACTTCGATGCAAAATTAGTATAAAGCTTGAAACATCTGCAGAGCTTTTAGAGAAATTCAGGTGCAATTTTTAAGCCAATGCAACCATCTTCTTAGACTTGCAAAAATGGTGCGTTAAAACAATTACTTTTTAACTAGCACTGGCTAATTAGGCTTACATATTCTCCCTATACGATAGAGTATATGTGTTTGTTTTGTGTATTCAGCCGGTTTTCATTATTGTCGATTCTGTACTAGGTCTCGAAAGCGCGCGAATAAAATCTTCTGTGCATACCATTCGGCATTTGCATCAATGCAAGGTCTAAGGCGAGTGATCAAATCCTCCGAAAATACTTATCTGGGGGGTTTTAGGGCCTCTGTTTAACTGGAAGTCAGCTTCAGAGGAACGGGTGAAGCAGCTCGCCTTGTGTTTGGTTATGTGAACTCCAAGCCTCTCTTGGCTGGCCAACAAATATACACGTTAATTGTTAGAGGAAGGAAATTATCCCGAACGGGAACTATATGAATAAATAAGCTGGCGTTCCTGAATAAAAATTAGCATTACCGGACTAAAACTGATTGTCTGTTTCAGTTTCTTATCTGCGGACCGTCGAATTTCATGAAGTAGGATTGAAACGGAACATCATCTACTTGCCTCCTGGTGATGGCACAATCGTCGGTCAGTGCGTGGTTAACTCACTTCATATAAGAATAACCTCTTGTGGAGAATTCATCAGTTTTAGCGTGTTCGTCTATCCGCTTCATTCCATAAACACGGCAGGAAGTAAGTCCTTCGCCGGTATATTCCAGATGTTCGCGCGAGTGCGTCTCCCCCAGAGGCTCTTAAACTGGGCTTCCAGCTGTAGCAAGCAAACTCCCGGTCCAAAGGAGAATTATGGAGGCTTCGTACTCAGCCGTTACGTGGTAATTTTGATGAAAGTTCGTGCATCCCGACGAGTGCCCACGGAGCATACGGTGTTACTACTCAAGGTCCTGCGTCACGGGAGGTAGTCTGTTTCCCCAGCAGTCAGTGGACACCTATCTGAGGGCTCTCGATGTATCTCGCGGGATGCGGTAGCAGAGATGATTCAACCAGTTCCGGGGTTCTTTTACCGGTATTTTTATGCAGAACCTGAAAAAAGTTAAAATCAGAGCCGTCGTCGAAAACCTGTGCCGCTGTTCCAAGCCTGTAGTTTCATGGCATACTTCCGGAAAAGCTTTTTACGAATTCAAACTGCTAGCTATAACAAACACAACAGGAATGTCACACATACGAGTCAACAGAGACAAACTGAATGCAAACAGTGCGATTCACCACGTATGCTGAGGGTAGCCGTATTTCTCAACCACTACTCCGCCCACCAACTGAATGAGCGCTACAGGTACCCCTTATCGGCTGGCCGTAACGGCTTCTCAAAACTCTTTATGACCCTTTATGCGGTAAGCCCACCCCCAAATAGCCGCAAGCTAATTAACTCCTTTAACGAGCGATCTACAACCACGTACGCCCGAAACATGGGGCAAGGCGCCGTCCATTCACATTTGGTACCTCCGTCCTTCCTAACGCGTCACTGACATTCACATCGTTGCGTGCAACTCCATCTAGCCAGTGCACCTCTCTGATATTCAAGTACGATCAGACTCGGTCACTCCTATCGGTGGTCGTCATTCCATACTATGCATACTTGAATAGTGCGTACTACTTAGAGACATGTGGCCGGAACATGGCGCCCTGGAATAAGGTGCCACTCAGTATACACACAATGAAAAACATTTCTCGAAAGTTGTCATATTTTCATGATCATCATTTCATTGCAATTTATCTACATGGGTTAATTGTTTAAGTGAACGAATTTTCAAGGCCAAAAACATCACCAACCGTGAATATGTTGCTCAGTGCAATAAGGTATCACGAATTACGGTGAAAACCGAACCGCTGACAGCGGCCGAATTTGTAGATACTGCCGCAGCTGAAATAATTCGCTGAACTTTCTAGAAACTGCATGGTCCCGGGATTCGAAACACCTGAGGTGCCACTTACGTAGACATCTTTTTTACTTTTTACATCTGCTTGACTGCTAGGTGTCCACGATGCCTAATCAATTAGCCACATAGAACCTACGTCGGTCATGGCGGATAACCGGTATGGCGTTCGACACGCGCCCATGGATGTCTACCGGGATACAATGAGGTTCCAGCTTCAACAAGAAGAAAAGTAGGATTTTATTGGTCATTTTGATCAGTACGTATATCCTGCCGAGTAGCTTCTGACCCCCTTGGCGCGCAGTGTCCAATGGGCTATTGACATCATGAAATGAAAGGAAGTTACAGGTTGGGTTATCGAGTTATCACCATGAGTCAGTCGGCTGACAAACAGGAGGCAACACTTACCCTACAGATGGAGCACTTCAGTGCCAACGATCTCGTAAAGGCTTGTTTGCACAACGCCATCTTCAACGGCTGATTCATGTTGAGATTTCCCGTAGCTGGTTGCCTGCTGACAACAACCTTGAAGAAATACGAGAGCTGCATTAGACGCGCTGAGTTTTATTAACAGACGAGAGCCTTGAGCTGATGGTTCATGCATGAATCAGATTAAATCATCTTCATCCGTCTTCCGTAGCTAGGGCTCTGCAGTGTTAGTCTTAGTAGTCAGACATTTACTCACGGCTGCAGACTAGCTCCTCCTTGGACCCGAAAATCTGGACACAGAGACTTGCTGGACAATCTGTGCCGAGATTCTGTGCTTCGGTTGAGTACCCTCAGCCATCGATAGCAGGTTGTCAGTTGCAGACTTTGAGCCTTGGCGCAGCAGGATTTCCCCATAAGTAATCAACTGTTTAACGATGATTGCGGTCCTCCTGGGGCCCAGTCCTTGAAGCTATTCTACCACCCGGTTGAGTTGGTTAAGTAGGTCCTCGAAAGCTGTCGGCAGTGGCTTTTCCAGTTATGGTGTCAACTCTCTGGTATCACTTGGTTGTTTGCACCAGTAACTGTAGGTTATCTGACTTAGGTTGATCCTACATTGCTTGCTCCATCCATATTATACTGCAGCATCCAAACTAGCGAAAGCGCATACGTAGTCACTCAACAAGCTTCGCTCGGAGTGTAGAGATCGCCCCCCGCAGGACTTCCCGCCAGTCACAGTGATGCTACGCATGCATCTCGAGTTCCCGCAGAAGCCATTGGGTGTGCCGGGACACATTCTGTGCTGCTAGATAGCATGCTTTAGTGGGTCTGAGCGGCGCACGCAGTTTTTCATTCTCCAGACGGTTGTTGGTCACATTATCAAAGCGGACCATCCTCGATTATGCCTGTACAACCCATTTTCGGATGTTATTAGCCAGTGGGCCGCGATAAATTAGGAAAATCACGGGTCTATGAGGGGCATTAAATCGCTGATCTTGCCGGAATCTGTGTGCTTGTATTATGACAAACAAAAAAACCTACTGTGTGGCATTGCCCCAGCGAACCATGCGGTTAAATATGTGCCCACTGTTCTCTGAGTGTATCCATGATGAAACATTCATGGATGTTTTCCTGATAGCTGTCCCATTATGGAAATAGCATGAAATGACATCACAACCGAAGACTACGCTTGCAGCCTGCACTTGTTCCGCCAACTTATCCATGACGAAAGGCTTCACCTGATACTGATTCCCTAACCTTTGTCTGAATAAGCCAAACAGTTTACGCATGGGCCAAAGTTTTGGTTTTCACGAAGGGATGATTCCCTAACCTTTGTCTGAATAAGCCAAACAGTTTACGCATGGGCCAAACGTTTTGCTCTTCACGAAGGTATAACTCTCCGGATGACCAATACCCATGAGGTCCGTGATTATCATGGTATACAGCTTGTATCTACAGACTAGATACCAGGCGCTGAAAAATAACTAACACAAAACTGTTTATTGCGTGTGTTTCCCGACATTTACCACATGTGGAAAGCGTCGAAACAACGCTATCTGCTGCCATTTGGAGAAGCATATGTGGCTACAGTGACCTTCTCCCACTGCAACGCAAGCACGCATCTCGTCTCTTGAAGTTTTGCCAGGGCCGAAGACATATGATCTACAACAACGAAGCCCAACTTTGCGACACCTACTCAACAGGGCTAGTTGACACTTCCGGCTGATGTATGTGTCCTGGGCAGCAAGAATCTTGCCTAATTCTTTGACCACAAACTGCTCCGATTTAAACGATAGCGTTTCATACGTCTACAGGGTCTACCAGGTACCCAACTCCCCCTAGGTTGGCCGTCAATGTACCGAAGGTCAGTCACTCAAAACCTTAAAAATCTTATAGTTGCGCTAACTACTACATGGTTCCCCTGCCCACTAAGAAAAAACCGCACTGGACAGTCGGTGCTTTGCGTGCTGTTTTTACTGGAAAACATGCTCAACCTCTTCTTCTAGCTTCTTTTTCCAGCTTCTTTGGATTCCTCGATATTTCGTTTGTCCCGAAGGTTGCCTGATGCATTTGTAGTGCGTCCATTTGTACCCTAAAAGTGCGTTGAGGCCTCGGTTAATGGATGAACGCACGAATACCATACATTCTTCATACATTCATGTAACGCCTTGTCAATTGCCTTGAAGGATGAGAATAAAACAGCCCCCAATTTCTCAACAAGAGAATATATGAAGTCGCTTCTTAAGCCATGGGGCGCATTAGCAGCACAATGCCTTTAGCAGCAAAACCTTTGCGAGCGGAATAAAGCCCTTTGCCCCAAAATGTTGCATTTTTTGCGCATATCCTTGAGCCAAACACCATCCTTAACTACTTCCGTATTTTTGCAGCTTGCCACATTTTACTGTCCCCTAAGCAATCGTCCCTCAAGCGGAAAAGTCTGGTGGAACAATTTCCAAGCACCGGTGAGACCCCGGGATACCTAAATGGGACTCGAAATTTTGGATTGGTACTCGGAACCCAATTGCCTGATCGCTTTAATTCATCAAGGACACGCTACAGCCTTCGAAAATTCAATTCCAGTGTGCCAATACTAAGCGCCTAAAGCCATACCACAGCAAGTTCAGAGTCGAATGAGCGCCATAAATCTAGAAAGGGGAGTAATTACAACAAAT